TAACTAAATTGAAGTAGAAATTTATTGGGGTGGTCCACTTCAATTCGTGCGGTTTAAACTGATTTGGCTTTCTGAGTTGAGTCAAACTAGGTAATATTTTCGAATCGTTCAATAAACGAAATATATCCATTTTCTGTTTACCTTAGAGCTGTGATTAGTTCTCTCCCTCCAAGTGATTTCCATTGATCCTTTCTATGATGTATTATTTAATATTCATGTTAGTGCCACTCATTCCTTATTGATTGATAAGTTTAATTCATACCAGTATGTGAATTGACTTCTTATATTTATTGATTTGTACTTGGTCTCAACTGTCTGATACATTCTTTATCTATTTCCTCTGTTTACGATTTTCACATTGACCTAGAATCAGTTAAACCTCATACATTATGAGGTGATTACTTTCACCACAGTTTCTTTTGCAGGTCGAAATTATTCAGATTACTATACTATGTCTGTGAACGGCTTGATTATCATAAATGACAATCAAGAAAACAGACATAATGGCATGACTCCATATACTACTACTGATTGTTAGAAATGAGTAGTAGTTGTGTACAACTCACATCATCGACACAGTAGTGTCTGCTTGCTAGCACCAGCCAGATGGTGGAAGTGATATCTAAACACTGGATGAATGTTTCACTCATTGTTTTGGGACAAGTTGATCATCAGCTCAGAGAGAATTTCGGCCATCTAGAATTCAGCTGCATAAAATGAGCATTTAATACATTTAGATAAACGACTTTCAATTACTTCAGAAATAGTACCACCTTTGAACATCAAACTCATAAACAAAGTATTCTTAGGCACTGTGATGCGGTTACGAATGGTTTCTTTCTTGATGTTTCTGTTGATAAACCTTTTAGGATATCCATTATTTAAGAGAGTTGTGACAAGATTTTCTAGTTCTGTGTATCTACACAAGGCAGATTTCCTGAATTCTGGAGTATAGAGAACGCATATGATTTCTCTTCATACCTAGAGAAATCTACTAAATAATGGATATCCTGGAAGGTTTATCGACAGAAACACCAAGAAAGAAACCGTCCGTAACCAAATCACAATGCCCTAAAAGACCCTGTTTATGTTTCTGGTGTATAACCCAACTCCTACTACTACAATTCGGTAGCTCTCGCATTCTGCCTATTATTCTCTATTGTTCCCCGTTAGTCTTTCCTGGGCTATTGAAGAAAGACTATACCTTATTACCTAGGATGTTAAAGGTTGTCAGCAGGGTAAGCAACATGCCACTTAACCAGCTTGCTAATATTCTGGTTGACAGGCACTTAAACTCATGTGAAAAATGGGCGAAATCCATTTTATCTGACTTACAACACCCTCTACATTCACAACTCTCCCCTTGTATCTCATCAGGTAGAACCAGAAGCCTATATAGAAAACTATATGCTCGCACTAGCAAGTACAAAAACTCAACCATACCCTACTTAGCTCGTGTTCTGTGCGATAAAGAAAGCATTAGGCGTGATAGCTATAACTTATTAAATAGTCAGTAGAACAACTGGATCTCATCTTTCCAACTCATATTATTTACAGACACAACGTTTTTCTTATATATATATATATGTCTTGCATTTGACCTTGGTCTGGATGGGTATCCTCTCGAACCGACTTCATATTTCCCGTTAATACATGAGAGGCTATTTATTCATCTGCTCTGATTATAAAAAAACCATAGGATAATCAGTAGTTATAATTATTATTATTGAATTTTTCAGGATGTACTGCCACTACAGTTTATCAACATCGTAATGTATCGCTCTACAATAATAATAATAATAATAATAATAATAATAATAATAATAAAACAATAACGATAACAATAATAATGAGTGAATAGTGCAGAAATCGTAGTAACGTTATTATTGTTATTATCAATGGTAGTGTTAGTAGTATTAATAGTAATCAGTAGTAATCAGGTAACAATAGGCATTATCCAACATGAAAATGTGTGTCTGTGTCTTTTTGCCCGTTTCTGTGCTATTATCATAAATGATATATGCATATCTACACATAATTATATGCTATGCTTGTTTGAATTGTCAGCTAAACACACAAACAAGGAGACAGTATTGAATCATAATAGTAGGATACACAGGCGACAATAGTAGTAATGGACAGACGAAAGATAAAATGGGCAAACACATCTAATCATAAACAGATAGAATGAAGTAGGTATTGAAGAAGAAAATGACAGACATAAAGAGAAAGGCAAGACGGCGTAAAGAAAGATGTGTATATGGTGTATCTATGTATGAGTGAGATGAGGAAAAGAAATTATGACAATAAATGTGTTTGAAAACCATACCACCACCATACCATTCTGAAGAAACACAATATAACGTGTGTGTGTATATGATAGAAACGGTGACAGAGAGAAGAGAAGAAGGAAGTCGAGTAGGGAGACTTTCCCAGCTTGTTGTTGTAACGATTCAAAACGGAAAACATAAAAATAGGAAATGTGAAGAAAGTCGATAAAAAAGTGTGAAAACAGAAAAAACAAACAAATTCTCTTATATCGATTTATTGATACTGTTCTTAATGGTGTTGTTAGCAGTAGGGAACACGGACGAACACTTGCAGAACTGCCATATCGAGAGAGAGGGAGAGAGAGACGACTCATTCGAGCTAGTGTCCAACATGAGCAAAAGTGTATGTCATTACCAGAAATGTATAACAAGAAGTAAAAACAATGTGGAAAAGAAACAAATAAACAGAATTAATCAGAAATAGTGGAGAAAGATTCCCAACATTCGTTTGCTCTACTCTATAAGTATACTCTGATCTAAATAGCACAAAACTAATAGTAATAACGATAATAATTCTTTTGTGTATTATATCTAAATGTATCTGAAGTACACGATTTGATCTGTGTCTATCCGCCTATTAGCCTATGCTTCTATCTAACTGTGTTTATTGTCTAATATGTCTATTTGTGTGTGTATGTGTGTGGGTGGGTGGATGGCGCTTTTTTGAAAATCAGAGGAAGAGCTAGCTTCACACACACACATACACCACCACCACCACGCAAACAATGGAGAAGAGAAACCACACAGAAAGGGGGGAAGGAATCATGGTGTTTGTTACATATGATGAGAAGGAGTAGAATGAGTATACACACATATCAGTTAATAAACAGCAAGAATCATAATTATAATATTTTGAACAATAATAATAATAGTAATCACGATCAGTAATTGTTAACTAGTAAACAACTGGCAATAATAATAATCAATAATATAAATAATAAATGATAAAATATTGTAACTAATATTCATTGAATTACACAGTTACATTTTGCACAGAATTAAAATCCCTACTCTGTGACGTTTACAAGTGTTCATGTGGTATAACACAACTAATTGATTGGTTGAGTAGACAGACCCCACACACATATGCACAGAGGATGAACGCTTATGACTCATAGTGAATTGTCATAGAAACCAGCGAAAAAATAACTGATAGTCAATGGAAAAGCACGAATACTACGCAATTTCTATCTTACTACAGGAAACTGTATGTGAATAAATAAATTTGTGTAAATAGAGAATCTAAAATTATTATTATCATTATAACACGCCTCTACACTGTTACCACGACTACCACTCCCCAGTAATCATTCTAAGCGCATGATCGTACTACTACTACTGGTGATAATAAAAGTAGTGATGTATACAGTCGTATATTTTCTTTTTGTTCTTGTTATTGTTGATGACTAGATGCATGTTATTACTACTATGTGCACATCAGTGTAAGTATGCATCAATTTGTGTGGGTGTTGTTGTGTGTGTGAATGAATGCACAGAGCAAACCATTCCTCAATAGACTCCAATAAAAAGGAAATGTTCAGCTGAGATAAAAGAGACAACAGAAGAACCGAAAACCAACTAATCAATCAATGAACCAATGTCGTTTTAGGAAATGATGAAACGTACAATACAGATAGATGGATGAATGATATTTAGGTATTTTAATCATAACAAGGGAAAGACGGAAAAATGAAGATCCTGATGAACACAATAAAGAAAATGGCCTAACAACATAAACACACACACATCTGAATCTTTAAAAAAACGTTATAATGCATTAGTAAAATACAGTCGTATATGAGTTATTTTAATTATTTCTTTTTTCTCTCTATTTATAATAGTATTGATTATTTATGAATAGAAAATGTCTAAGGGAAACAAACAAACAATCGACTAAAGACAACAAAACAAATTAAATATACAAATACATGAATGGGGATGCAAAGGTGCCCCCTTCCCCTGAAGTATGCACGCCTTTGTATATCATCCGAGAGAGATGGGAGTGGGGGAACATTCTAGAGATTTATTGTAATTATTTTGACTGTCAAAGTTGATCCATTCCAGAAGACAAACAGTCACACATACACACACAAACGTTCCAAAACAGCTTTCGACTTTTTATAGTTTTCAATGATTCATCGTAAATATTGAACTGTGTTAACATATATATTTTTTATCTAAAAGGTGGTAGATGCGTGAGTGGTGGTTAGCAGTCAGAAAATGATGATGTGGTAAGTAAGGCGAACAAAATATCTGTGAATACTACTGTCTGCTATGTTGTTGAGAATCAATTAACGATCATAATAACCATAACAATAAAAAATAAAAGGATGAATTGGTTGACTGATTTTTTATTGAATACTCTCATCTACCCACCCACCCACTCACTTCCACACACACATACATGCATACACAAACGTTTAACAGAATAAGGTCTTACAGTACCAGTATAAGTAGTAGTAGTAGTAGCAGCAGCAGAAGTAGCAGGAGTAACGATTCAAACAAACAAAATAAAAACAGAGGAGAACAGAAGCAAAAACACTTGAAAGGATACGACTGTTTGGTGTATAGCATATACCTCTGCCATCTTCACAGACTAGTCATTAATTTTTTTTGTTCATTTTATTTTATTCAGTTACTTATGTATGTATAGGTATAATTTGAATGTAATTAAATGCGTTGTACATTTTTTCTCTGAGATAATTCTGGTGAGCCTTGATTCGACGGTGGATTGATAGTTATCTTCGGTGTATCCAATAGAGGATGATTACTACTGCTGTCATTATCATCACTGGTGGTTGACGGTTTCAATGACGATGAGATGTTGGTGGATGACTTCTTTGCATCTTTTGGATCAATACAGAATACAACTGGTGTTTGTTGTCGTTTTGCCGGTGATGATGGTTTATTAACATCATTATTAGCAGCAGTAGAAGTAGTACCATTGGAAGTATTCGATAAATGATTTGTTTCAGTTGCTGTTTGATAAGACTCTGTGGTGTCATCATCTGCCAGTGTTGTCATTCCCCCAAATGGTGATGAAGATGACGAAGGTTTCTTCCCCTTACGATGTCGTGTTTTTGTATCTTTTGGTTTATTACTGTAAAAATAAAGTAAAGAGAAAGGGAAAAATAATCACTACAAGGATGCCAAAAACTGGCAGACAGCATTTTCTAAACATCATCAAAACTTAGGCGGCGAATAATTGTGATCTTTTAACAACAGGATCTCAAAGATACTCACTCAACAATGAATGACAAGGCCTGTTTTCGTGTATTGTCATCAATAGACGAGTTTACAAATCGGTGTAGACATAAGAGTGTCGTATCCTCGGGTGGGTTCCGATCCCACACTCTCAGCATGCAGCTTCCGACATGCCTTGTCTCTGTCATATACACTCTGATAGTGTTTTCGCGACGTCTTGTCGACAGTTCTTCCAAAGGCGATGCGATACTTATGAGATTTAATTATGTGCACGGTTAGAAAAAGGCTGCATGGATCTGCATACCCAGAAAATGTTTAAGTCCACTCGATGGGGGAGGGGGAGAGATCTCGAGTGATTACACCAAGGGATATTTGCATGGCCTTCTGGTCTCTCAAGAGACTGGAATAATTTTATTTCGTTCTCTTTAGAAATCAGTATATACACCCGTTACATGGTCCAGGTTCGATTTCTGGCTGATGAACACACTCCTAAACCTCGCTTAGCCAGTAATAAGCCTAGTAAAGAGGGAAGCGTGGGCAACGTTATTCCTTAAAAACAACACTGCTTGAAGCCTTGTGTTCCAGTGGGAACGCAACTGAATAAAAATCACTGTCTCAAAGGTATTCGAAAACGACAAGGCTATTTTGCAATGTTATCTTTAGCATAAACGATTGAATAATATTAAAGAAATTCATATTTCTTGGTAAAATCGTTGAAAACCAGGACAGAAAACATCAAGCTGCGCGGTGTGCTTCCATGGTTTTCAACTGATGTCTGTTTGTGACGAAGTCAAGGTCAAGTGCTGGAGAATGAATTAATCCGATACTAAAAAAGAATTTGCGAGAAAGGAAAATTCGGAAATGCATCTTAAAAGCTACTTATTTGGCACATTTCGTCCTATTTGGGAGTCGTGCCAACTACTGGATGTACCTGCCTTCCACTTACGCATTATCCAACTAGGCCAATAGACGTTTGAAGCGATGGGCGCTTTGTTTTTAGTCTCAGTGAGAACACCATCACTCACTATGGGATGCAGGCATATCTAGCTAACGAAACTCGCAAAGGACGAAAAGTGTGAGTCTCGGATTCTTCTGTTAGTCACAATGAAAGAAGCAGCTTCGAGTTATTAATGTTAGTTAAATTGAGATATCTGTCCAACGAGTCCATGAACTAAACATGAGGCTGATGAATTAGGTTCAGACAGAAATATCAACAAGAAATTTTACCGCAGACCTGACTGACTGGAGGATTTATATTTCCCAGTATTTTCAAATTCATCCCAAATCTGTTACTATCGAAGCAAACACCCTCAGATTTTGCGAATGAGCAAACAACATTGTCACTGAATACCCATTGAACGATCCTATAAATTACAAATGTCACTTACATAAACTAATGCTAATTATCCCTCAGCCTGTTAGTAAGACAATAAATTCGTAGATGATTGACAGAGAATGCATCCAAGTCACCAGGAGACTGATTGCCATTTGATGAAGTTTTCAATTCAATAAAATACCACAAGACTTTATTCTTCTTTCATTAAAACTAAAACCTCCCTATTTCCATCGAATCCATATATCTACAAATTGCAAGCGTGTTTTTAGCGATTCTAATTACTTGCTGTGTAGATTTCGTGTCATGAACAGGCCGAAGTCAGTCAGAGGAAATAATCACAAAACAGCTAATTTCGGAACCTTTAACAACCCATGCACGAATTCCAACTAGCCAGGAATTGAACCTAGGATACCAAATGCGATGGTTTACGGATGTCCACTGTTCCATTGGCTTTAAATGATGCCCTCTAACTGACTTGTTGGTTCGTATGACGTTAAAGTTTAGGTTGAAATGAATCTACATCTTTTAATTTGGTTGTCCTCTCTGAACTGGTTGGTGATCGTCTAATCGAGAAGCTTTCACTACCCATCTTAGACAACATTTTCAATGCAGACTTCAATATGAATGTTTTCTCCATGAATGAGTACATATAATTGTATCTCCTAACAACCTTTATCGTGATTGATTTTTCAATTTGCAACTGTATTGATCATTCAAAAGGGTTCAAACATAGTGTAGCACTCCATTGCTGGAGAAAATAGAAGAAAGATATTTAGCGCCTTCAGTTTCATCGAAAAAAATGTCTAAGCTCAAATTGAACTACCAGCAAGAAACTTAGAAACCTCAAGAAAATTCATTTAAGCATGTAAGGGAAGAGAATGCTTCTGAAATAACAGCTAGAATACAAAAACCATTCGGTAAAGATATTTCTACATATATCACCAGAATCATTTCATCATTCAATACTGTGGAGACCAAAAGACACAACAGCAAAACGACACAAGATCAGTATCATCTACAAAATAAATTGGAGAAAGTGTGTATATATAATAAACACTACATCGGTCAAAGTGGGTGTGTCCCTTTCGATCCTCACTGCGAGTCCAAAAGATCATAAAGTAAATAGCTGTCGAAAGACACGATATGCATATTATTTCATATAGATGCATGCAGACAACTAAGAAAACCAATTTGACTGTGTAAATGTAGAAATTTTAAACAGTAGAGACACTTAATTTAACTATTAGATTTTCCCGTCGATCGATTGGACCGAAGTGCTCGGTCTCAGTTTGACATGTTCGCTTCTTGTGCAGATGCTTCGACGATGTCTGGGCATTTAATTGGTGGATGGTGACTAGCAGTGGGTTCGAGCCTCGGTGGGAACACCATCATTCGCTGAGAAATGCAGGTACATCCAGCTGACGAGTCCCGAATAAGACTAAATGCATATCCTGGATTCCACTGCTAGTCACCATCCACCAATTAAATACTAACTAAATGCCCAGACATCGTCGAAGCATCTGCACAAGAAGCCGACATGTCAACCTGAAACCGAGCACTTCAGTCCAATTAATCGACGTGAAAATCTAAAAAGTCAATTACATTAATATGACCCGTTGCACAAGAGGTGGCTCTCGTGGCCCAAGTGGTCTAGTGGATAAGGCTTTGGCGTTTGAAACTATGGGCACTGGGTTCGAGCCTCGTGGGAACATCATCACTCACTAAGTAGAGACACTGATCTGCGGAAGCCCTAAGGATAATAGCCCTAACTGATTCTTTGTATGTGCATATATCAGTTCACCTGCTGCTGTGGAGCCAGGTACATCGGTCGTTCGACGCGCATCCTGTTCAAGAGGATTCAAAAACACTATCCAGCATGGCTGCGAAAAGGCAATATTGGTGCAATAAGGAGTGCGATAATTGAACACCTGGTTAACACTCATCCAACATTCCATCTCAACAAACGCCTCCTGCCTCAAAGTAATCTAGAGTCAAGAATGACCTACCAAAGGCAATACGGTTTCGTCTCCTTTGTATCGCTGAAGCTCTGGCCATTCACATAGGAAAACCGGAGCTGTGTATACAAAAGAGAATTACTCAACCACTTCTAATGTCATGGTAACAATGTTTTGATTTGGTTTGAGTTTTTTTTATTTTGATGACTTAATTTTGTTTCTTCACCTGTTCTTTAATTGCTTAGAATTCTTGTATTCATTTCGTATTATCTACTTTGTTTCTATGTGCATCCTGAGTAAAACTCACTCATCAAACTATTCATATTATTGCATAACTTCTTTTAACAACTGTTTGTGACAACTCATCACCTTTATTACTACCCTAGTTTCATTAACATCTAATTTTCTTGATTTGCATTACCAACCTTCACCTGTTTAGTTAAAATAACCTTAACCAATTGTAATTTTGTTTGACGAACTTAATGTACACACATATACAAAATAACATATATATTTGCGATTGTACAGCTAAGAAAATGAATTCACCGAAAGAGACGCTTCGCTGATCTACGTGTTTTGTTTTCTACTTTGTTCCTATGTGTATTTTGAGTACAACTCAATTACCAAACTAATCATAATATTACGTAACTCCTTTTTAATAACTGTTTGTGACAACCCATCACCTTTGTTATCAGACTATTTTCATTAGCACCAAATTTTCTTGACCGTTTTTGTATTATGCAACTCTACACTGAAAAATGCCAGGGAATTCCTAGAAACCTGGTTTTGTGGATGAGTCAGCGAATCACAGACATTTTTATGGATCAAATTCATCAACTAATAAAAAAATATGCCTCTCACGACAAATTGCGAATCCATTAGAAACGATTAATAAAGATGTAATTTAACAGTCAATCACGACAAAGGTTGAGAGGAGATACAATTATGTATATCACTCATGGAGTAAGAATTCAAATAAATTTCGCTTCATACTGAAGTTTACATTGAAAATGTTGTCTATGATGGAGAGTGAAAGAAAGCTTGGCAATTAGACGATCACCAACAAGCTTAGAGAACACAACCGGATAGAAATCAAGGTTCCTAGGGTAGAACCCTATGAAACTAACAAGACCGACAACTGTGCAAAGATGATTGGATACATGACTACCTTAGGTGCAGGATTCCCTCACGGATTAAAACTCCTCCAACCAAGAGAAAAGCGGACCAGCAACACTTGCTTCCAACTGGTTTACTTGGTGAAAGAGAACACCATGCTGCTACACGGTCAGAAAAGCCTCCACGAATTTGAGAAAGAACAAAAGTATACAGCTCAGCTCAAATCTCTATTATTATTGTTATTATAACTTCAGAATCCCTATATCTATTTGTTACGTGTTATTTTTAGAACAAGAAAAATCGATGTGTGTATGCTTTAGTTTTGGCTTGTTATTTTTTTTACAACTATTGAAAAAATCTAATTGAGCCCTAATATCTCATAATATTGAGGAGAAGAATTTAGATTTGAATAAAAGAAAAAAACAATCTGAAAACGCCAAGAATTGGAACAAAAAGAGAAACTAACAAACAAATGAAATGAATAGACGTGCTCAAGGACACTGTCCGGCCTGGATAACACACATTGAGAACATAGTTGTGTATATAGCCTGGTAAAGGAATATATCCGGTGAACTTAGGACACTCAGCTCCATATATATGAGATCCGATCAAACCAATCAATAGGGAGTGAGATCAAGACATCTGGGTTTAAAATTCGTATTTGTAATCTTTTTAATTCATTATATAATTTTACTCTGGAACATTCTCATCACCCCTTTTTCATGTATGTATGTTCACGAATGTACAGCCAATCAGTGATGACTTCTTTGAAAAGAACATGTTCTTAATAAAAGAGATGGCTGTAGTGAACTTTTTCATATGATCTAATGCGTATATTCCACAAAATAAGTAAAGGAACAGAAAATTAGTCAGAAAAAAGAAAACCAAAAAAAACAATTTGACTAAGGGAAGAAAACAACAACAGAAAACCTGGAAGGGACTACCAATGTTAACTCATGATGAAATCCTGAAATCAATCAAATCTATAGACCAACACTTGAATAACGACAGAAACGTTATTCGTCCAAATCGATATGATAAAAGTATATATATATATATAAGAAAACGGATGTTAGTAGGTACATAGATGAATGCATAGAGTTGATGGAGAGGAGAATAAAGAGTCGGTCAGTGAAAAGTTTGTGAAGCGAACATAGCGTCGGAGAGGAAGGTGCTTGGAGTGAAAATAAAGCGGATAGCATAAGTCTGGCATAACAGCTTAAACAAGGGCTTCGTCTAGTTCACGAGTCTTCAGCAGTGTGCGCTCCTATGACCCCTTCACCTGAGTTCGAACCCAGACCAGGACTTTCAAGATTACGAGGCTTAGCTCGCTCACCACTGGGACGGAATCCAATAATGACCCATGAATTCTAACTTCTGTCAGTTGCTGGTCGGGTAGTCATAGTTATTTACTGCTGAAAATTCCTAGAAGCTTGGACAAAACAGTTGTTCAGTTCTCCCTGGTGGATTTCCACGGTTCCCTTTAACTGATGTTAATCAATGATCAAACTTGAAACCAATCCAATCCCTACAAACCAGCACTTGAAAACTAGTGTGTTACACCAATTACACCGAAATATAGACCTTCGAATATCTTACATCAATTCTCTAAGTGCACTGCAATGGCAAACTACCTTAGTATATATATATATATATATATATATATATATATATATATATATATATATATAAAACTTAGGCATTGTAGTGGAATTTTTGAAAACCAGGGAGTACTGTACCTCTATCTGTAATATGATTTCGCCAAGTGCGAATACGAATGCTGACTGACGATAATGAACTCTTGGTAATTTCCTAGTCAATTATAATCTGAACCGTAGAAACGAGTAAATTCCATAAGAGTCACACGGGCTAGGAAACGTGTATTTCCAAATAAAGCCCGAGAGACACAGAGAGAGAGAGAGAGAGAAAGTGGCTAAGAGTACAAAAATAGGTGACATATATATTGATCCAATCGTATGGCTTGAATAGTAGGAGCTTACAGCATGTTGGATGGTGATTGGCTGGAGTTCATCATGTGACAATATTTTATTAACAGAATAATTAAATAAACTGTGTTTGCGTAACAGTCCGTTTCTTCCTAGACTGGCAATCTTCGGAAGTTGGCACCCATAACCTATCAGAGATAAATGACTGCTAACTGATGTGTTGATTCGTGACGAAATCTACACTGAAATGAATAACATTCATTGTAACGGAAAGATTGTTTGAAAGATCCCTTCTGAGTGTTCTAATCACAATACTTATACATATTTCGGACGTTTCAAATAACAATGTAATTATTATCCATGTTTCACTTACATTGTAAATCGTTATTTTGACACTTGCAAAACACACGTTGATACGATCCTTATTATTTGTCCTTGTTTAATCTCTAATTTTAATGCTTCTCGTCGTGACTGTGTGTACAGTTATAATGTGTTGTATGATGTGATTTTGTTTGAGTGAATGAAGGTCATTCTGATCTTGAACTGCTCGTAGGAAGTATTGGTGTGTGATTCTTGTTTACAGAGTTTTTGATTCCCACCATTTCGGGAAAGTTCTACTTAATTCCAAATACTCGTTTGGTACTAAAACTGGACTGTGTAGCTAGCTGCCTAACATCTCTGTTAAGGTAATTCTACGTTTTTTGGATGTTATTATTGTTTAATTAATAGCACCGTAAAATATTTGAAGAATAATCGTCTTTTACCTGTCTTTGGAGCGTTTCGTGGATATGCATGTCAAGAAAGTTTAGCCGGCTATATGTTAAAACGCTTTTGGTAGCTACATTCAATAGAGAAAATAGAGATTGGGGGGTTCTCTCTATCACAATCACCAATACAACACGCACATAGAGACACATAGTAAACCTACTATTTGTTCGTTTCATTGTTTATATCTGTACCGCTCAATTGGCGCCAAATAGACGTTTTCGACATTTCTTCAGTAATATTAATACGCTAGAGTAAAAAAACGAAAAATACCATGTAATGATAACAAAGAAGACAAATGGAAAAGGAATTCACACATGAATAAGCAAATACAACTGCAAGTTTGTCGGTGATCAAGACAGAAAATGTTTTTAAAAAATCCACAAATGATATGACAACTTTTGAATTTACAGAATGAAACATTAGTAGTGATGATTAGAAAAGCATTGTGTGCATGTAGGAGTTTGTGTGTGTGTATATGGTTGCCCATAGGGGAGAAGTTGGCTTTTTGCAATATCTGAAAAAGAAGGAGCGTTAGTGTTGCGTAACCATAGTATCCAAAGGACAAATGCTTGATTCCGGTCACACATACACACACAAACGGTATGTTTGGGTCAGGTTTCTGGAGTTGCGTCCGCAATAAAGCTTTACCGCCAGCTTAAAACAACTGTAAGGTAAGTCGGGATGCATGATTTTCGGCAAGAACCTTTTCTAAATTCTCTCCTTCCCCAGAGTGGAGAGGAAGTAAAGATGGTTTGCTGTAGTTACATACCTACTCCTCAGCAGTACACCTTCGCTTACAGACTCCAGCATACTGTAGAAAAATTAGACTGAAATGCTAATTGCCCAATCGACTTTTATGGCACGGTAGGACCTGCGAGAATATTTCAACCAGTATAGATCGTTAGGTCATAGCGATATATGTCAATCAAGGTATCAGTCTAAATTTACAAAAATACTGTCTATAATATATCTCGATTTCATTGTGGATTTTCATCACGAACTTACACAATTTAAAATATCATTGGAAACCAGAAGAACTGAACAACCACCTTACAGTTTACTACTAAATCGACCCCAGAATGAATACTCTGAAGTTCTAATGACGATTTGTAGCCGGTCAGTTCTTCCTTGTTAGGTGGAAAGCTTACGTTCATAGGATGCTATTGCTTAAGCAATAGCGGTATACTGAGAATTGATTGAATTTCCACCTAGTCACCTCACCTCGTAAGTTATGTGTTCTCGGTTTCATCTCTGGTTAAGATAGTCAATGCGTAATCCCAATGCGTCTCGAACAAGGATGATACAATTTTCCAGTGCTCCACAATTTCCGAGTGACTCTTCAACTGATATTACTATTATTAAAACAAAAACTTATTACATTAAGGGCACTAAGACATGCACCACACAAACTCAGTGTGTACGTAACTCTCCGAAAGCCCACATAGAACCAGGTGGTTGTCTTGAGGAGGCACTGCCACCAAGCCTTTGACTTTAAGCCTGATCCACAAGGCAGAAGAGCAGCCTCAGCAGCTGTGTTCCTACAGTTTCCTGTGGCCAAAACAAGTTCGAACAACATTCGATCCTTTGTGATTCTGGAGTCCATGGACACCATAGGTTTGTAATCATGATTTCCCACCTCCCCTAAGTAGATCTGCATGTACACTGGTTCGGTTGTAAGCTCAAGAAGTAAGAATTCGTCTTTTCACTTTTGCGGGAAGTACCAAACGCCGCGAAAAGGCAGTCAAGAGAGCTTACCTGACAGTGACTTTAAGCGCATTGCGACAAAGTGTTCATTACTTTCGTGACATAATGACGTTTCAAAGGAAATCATGATTGTAAATAAAAGAAAAGCTTGGATTCCAACAGAACTAATTTTTATTAATAGACTGCGTTTTTGACGTGGAATTTCGTACAGTAGTGCACCAGCTGAAGTTTCCTCACTCCGCATCAAAAACAAAGGTGACAAAGCAAGAGTAGAGAGTAAAGCGAAGTTCAAAAGACAGATAATAAACAGAAGTGTGAGTGAGGGAAAAAGAACAAAAATATGGAAAAATAATAGGGTTTCATTGGATGTGACAAATCATTACAGACAGTGGATACATCTGGACCAGCCACTAAGAACGATTTTGTGCCATATCACCAATTGTCTCCAGTCATTGGTTCTTAACATCCTGAGGACTCCAACCAGTTAAGAAGTCTACAGCTCCCTACGTAGCTGGCTGACTGAAACTAATTGTCACGCATTTCATGGACTGATGAAGCCAAGTTTTCGTCAGACCACCACTATCTCTTTTACAGTCTGATCAATGTCAGCTAACATTCCCAATCGGTCTTGGAAAACGATAACTAGGCTACGCATGTATAACACATGTCCTAACCATCTCAATCGACTCACCTTAACAACATCACCTATTGATTTCCCTTGCTACATACCTATTACTAAACGCCTAACCTCAGTATTACTCACCCTACTACACCACCTAACATGGCAGATACAATGTAGATACCTACCTATAATCAAACATAGACAGCCAGGTTTTTCATGTTTCCCACTTTCAGTGGTTATGTCTCACTCACAGACACAAGGGAGGACGGAGCGAACCACTGAGAAGTACATTCATCTTTTCATCCATAGCCAGCCGGATATCACATCTATGCAGGAGATGACGGAAGTTGGCCAATTCCACTCGAGTCTTTTGTATCCGTGCCGAGATTTCGTCAGTAATCAGCCCATTGAGACTGATCCGACTGCCCGAACAAATAAATTTGTCAGTCAACACACCTTACCACTTCACTCCATATCTTCAATATAGGAGTCGATATAATTCAATCCTATAGCAGCAGCATCTTACATTTGACAGCAGGAGCGAATCACATGCCAAATATTCGAAGATTGCTGCTCGTCAAGATGTTCAGAAGACTCTTCATTGTATCACCGTCTGTGCCTAGGAGGGCTTCATCATCCGGATATTCTAAGTTAACGAGATTATTTCCTAGTAACAATTCAATCCCTGAGTCATTGAAGTCAATTAGGCTAAATTCCATTAGTACATCCTTTGATGAATCTATTCATCACTTCAGATGACAACTCTCCATAAGCTCTTACACAGCTGCATGAGTTTGAGTTAAGTCTCTTGATCAGTGCGATGTATTTTCTAGGCACTCCCTTCAATGCTAAACATTGCCATAGTGCCTCTCGGTCGACGAAGTAAAACCCCACCTTCAGGTCAAAAATATGGCAATTACAGGACGCCAGTAAGTATGCCTATGACCCATATTTCGTCCAAGAATGAATACACCTTCTTCCCAGTCTAAAACCTACCTGCTTCACTCGCCTTTCTTCCTCCCGAGAGTCAAAATCTATACATAATTATTCAGTCTAGAACTTCAGGTGGCATATTAGTAGTCAAGCTTACCGACCTGTGATTACTACAGGAAGACTTGTCTCACTTATAAATTCGTATAATCAGTGACTGACACCAGTCTAACGGGACTATCTCTGATTTCCACACGTTGCCTAATAAATACTTTGGTTAATCCATACACAAATATGTCACCACCATCCTTAAGCACTTACTGCTAAAGTGATTTAATCAAGTCATGCTAATTCTCTTCGTTTCAAACTAGAGACAGCCTTCGTCACCTCAGTTAGAGATGGACGACCAATGTATGTCTACATTCCATTCAGGAAGGCGTTGAACGCTGGCCCGGTTGAGCGTGATTGTAAGTCAATTAAACTGCTCTTGAAAATGATCCTTACAATTTTTCAGTCGCCTATGCTCAGAGCGAATCAAGGCGCTATTTTTATATTGCATTGTCTCGCTTGTCATTTGCCACCTGTTTCCTTCATAAGCCTACATACTTGTCTGGTATCACCTATCGTCAATGCCTTTTCCATCCTCTTTCGCTTTTGCCGCCAACCACTGTTCACGGTCGTTGAGAAGAGTTTTTGTTAGTTTGCATTTGACCAACTTTAGACATTCATCATATTCGGAGCCTGCTGCAATCAGTATGCTTGAATCTATCAGTTCGGGTGAAGTAGCACAAATCCACTGGCATATTCTGACTTTTGGTTTTAGGTTATCAACAGCCTTCACCGCTGAACATTCAAGTGTAAGCATAAAATTGCATCGACCAGAAGAAAGAATTTAAAACTTTAATATCACTACTACCATATATAGGGAAGAATCATTTGATTTTTTTGACTTTGATTTTAACTGCAGCTTGATTCCACACTGTATTTTTGGTACAAGTATGGAATTCTCAGCATGTGATATCGGTAGCCCAAATTTCGCAGGCCGACCATAGATATCAGGTGTGCATCGACAGAGGATCGAACCTCAGACCATGTGCATGGTCAGCTAGAGTCTTAACCACTGTGCCACCGACGCACAAAATAAAGGGAGGACCGTGAGGCCTCCCCATTGACAAGAACTACACGCCCCAGCGCACCCGATTAGGGTCCGTCGCGAATTTGAACCCACCGAGGTGCAAAGGTGAGCCTCCACCCGGGGTCAATGCATTCTAGATCACCCTAAACCCGGGGCCAGGTAAGTTTCGCAGACAGTATGTAGCATTTTTATTCAGTCTGCAATTAAGGTGACGTATAACCCAACCACCAATCAATCAATCGACTCAATCTCAGTCAACTAGCGATAAAATTTGCCACCTTATAAATCCAGTACACCCAATCGGACAAATTATTAATACAATTTACCGACTACCATATAATCGCTGTGAGATCAATTACAACGTTAGTGTCAGCCTCCTAGTAGATTGAGGCCAATCATCACCTCAGTAATCTGAACACAGAAATTTAGCTAGATACAGATCCAGTATGATTGACGCCACTAAGATAAGTAATTCTAAAATAAAAGGTGGACATTGCAGCGAAATCACCCAATTGCATGTCATCGCAAAACCTTATAGCCAGATAGGCAACATAACTAGTGTGGAAAGAGAAAGGGGTCAATCACCACCTAATTGTTTCTTCACCAAGTAAAGACGTAAAACACATGGAATAAGAATCATTCAACAACAACAAAAACAAGAGGGATTTAGTAGAAAAGACAATATAAAGCGAATTACGTGTGATATGATTACGAGCAATTAAATTGTTCTGTGGAAACATTATCCAGTTACAAAGAAATGTACATTAAAGGGCAAAATATTCAAAGGAACCATAGTTATCAGAAGTGTACGGAATAAAAAGAATAAGCATATGGAGAAGCATAAAGAGTTAATGGATCTGGGAATAAATTTATCTGAGCAACTGATAAGGGATTTTAGCCATATATAAATATCAACAGTCAGTTTTCATCTCCATCGGCGGTGGTTCTTAGCATCTCAAGCAACCCAATTATAGACTGATGCCAGGATCTGATTCGACCACACCCGCACCAGCCCCCACCAATTAATCTTTTCCAACCTAATCCTATATAAGGTAATAGAGCCCGACGAGGGAAGGGAAATATAAATCATCAAAAGCATGACTTACCTTTTCTTCTGATCTGGAGACTTTTTTGTCTTGTAAAAGATTCGTATTGCTTGAAAACTTGGCATTCTGAAAAAAATTAATAAGAAATACCGAATTATCAGAATAATCAGAAAGGTAAGAGAATAGTCATTAATTGAAACTGACTTATATATAATTATTTACAGGGATTTGGTGATTGCTTTTAAGGTAGATCATGAACCAATAGCAGTTAGAGAATCTGATATGTATCCACATGATGTGTGTTTTGTTTTTGACAGTCTATTATATTTTGTTATGTGTATATGGATCGACATTTCACTATAACTGACAATATGCTTTTGTCTGTCAACTAACTAAATAAACATGTATGACCTTGTTTTCACATGACATTACAACCAATCATGTTAAGACTGTCTATTTATTGGTTCATGTGTATTAGTCATTTTCATATATACTTTTGTACTGTACACTTGTTCATACTTGTTCCCACGTTTTCGTACACTACGTACCATTTCACTCACACTCTTGTGTGACATCTGTTTTCCTTGTCTGGAAAATACAAGTATCATCGTAAACTTGGTGGTCTTCTGATTTCCCTCTTTCCGCGTCAGGACTACTAACTACTCAACGAGTACATAACATAATTGGCGACGGGGAAAACTCTAATAACTCACTCAGCAGCAGTACATATCAGAATCATTGAAAACCACCAAGGGGTAGTGAACAGCTATTTCATCCCAAGTGGGACGAAACACACCTCCCAGGAATTCACTGTTTATCAACCTAGTAAAAAACCGAAGTGAGAAGTTAAATGAGTTTGCCGAAATTTCGACAGCAATTTCAAAGTATGATGACATCACGGATCCAGACTAGTAGTGAGAGAAAGAAAACACACTGGAAATAACCTGAGCTGATTGACTACACCATCAGTTTTATAATGAAACGGATCACGCTCAACACACACATGCATTGACAAATAAAATAAAATACATCAAAAACACAATAACTTACTTTACCAAAATCAGTAGCACTTGGTGCAGAGGCAATTGGTCGCGGAAATGGTTTACGTTTAGTACTTGGTAGAATTTGATCTAACCATTTTAATTCTTCCTGAGTAAATATAAAATCTAATCCTTTACGTATAAAGCACATTGCCAATACCTGTAAAATAAAGAAGAGGAAAAATAAGGAAGAGAAGAAAATAATAAGGATATGTTATTATTAATATTAACTATCTTGTAGAACATAGAGTTTCAGTGGTACACGGTTCTTAACATACTTCACAACTGCCACACAAACTCTCACTCCCATTATATACTCTTTTCTACATCAGCCTAGGATGGCCGACTCGTCGCTTCACTTTTTTGAGTTCCGCTCGACTGTTCGACTGATATGTATTGTGACTTGAAGGTCTGTATCCTTAGAATATGCCCAATCAATCTCTACTTTCTACCGCATACTTTTTCAACGATAATCCCATGAACAGTCTGGTGACTGACAGAGTATCTTCCTGTTTGTCTTTTCTGACCGATCGTCTGGTCTCCAGTACCGTCATCCCTCGAAAGTGGCTTATAATGAAAATCCCTAGTGGCTTGCTAAAAATGCTTTAGATGACCAACGTTTGCCAAGCCTCTGACGCATACAGAAGCACCTTTCTTTGTGTCAAAATTTATCACAGATTGACACCGATTAGAGAACTACTGAATACCAACTGGGAGTACCAAACATCTGTTTCGTCCTAGTTTGAGATGTATCGGCAGTACGGACACACTACAGGTGTCCGAGCCCAGAACCTTCCGATTATGAGGTAAGCTCGTAGACCATTCAGCCTCTGAGACCCAGGTCATTGGCCAGCCCATGAATTCTAAATTCTACCAACTCGTTAGGTGAACAATATATGAGTGAAACTTTATTCAGTAAACTAATGCAAAACATAATCTATTTTATATTTCCCCTCAAGTTAACATGCATTTTCCATTAAAACTCCATGTTTTTATTTGTTTACTTTTTATTTTCCATTTGTTCTATAAAGTGGATAAGAAGAAACGGTCATTCACTATGTCTCATGCACACAAACATACGTGCCAGGGAAATCATATTTAGAGAGAGAGGAAACCATGCTATCGACAATCACTGATGTTAACAACACATTAAGTGACTGCAGTACTTGGTGACCCGGATTCGAATCTCAAAAGGGGAAATCCGTTCTTTGAAGATTGCAGATGCACGCCTTTCTGACAAGTGTTAACAAGCGCGAAACATAGGTCCAAGGTTTCCTGCCAATTGCCTAGAGATGCGGTTAATTTGCTTAAGTCCTTGGATTTTAGTTCATAAGTCCCTGTAGTGAATTTGCTTTAACTTGGGTAACTACATGAAGAGTAGCATCAGCGATAACACAATAAGTATAACCAAAGGCCTGGAACAGGTGATTTTATTTTATTTTTTGATTACAGCTTGATTCCACACTGTATTTTTGGTACAAGTATGGAATTTTCAGCACGTGATATCGGTAGCCCAAATTTAGCAGGCCAACCATAGATATCAGGTGTGCGTCGGCAGGTGCTCGAACCATGGACCATATGCATGGTCGGCGAGAGTCCTAACCACTGTGCCACCGACGCACAGATGAGGACTACGTCAAAGTCAGCCAGGATCTGGAAAGCAAGATAGGCGTTTATTACTCTGATAAAATCAGTGTCGAGACCTACTAAAACACTCAACACAAGGATTAAGTTTCAAATTTTCAACACTAATGTGAATTCAGTGTTTGTTTATGCCTCAGAGTCTTCACTAGCACGTCAAAGAAAGCATTTCCGACAGACTGCAAACTCTTATCGACACCTGCCTTCCCTCCATAACGTAGATCAGATGTGTGGCTTGAAAGGATAAACAACAAGGAACTCTGATGGACAAAGAACCGACCGAAAATCTATCGCTAAACTAATAGGCAGAAGAAAATGGAGATGGATTAAATATAAACTCTGAGAAAACGATTGACTGTCATCACACGCCAACCAACACTAGACACTCATCAAGTAGGAGGTGAATGAGAAGCAACGAGTTGGGCATGTGTCCGAGGGTGACATGAAGAAGATCGTGTGAAGATGAAGAGAAGGAGAAGAAAATGAAAGCTTAAGAGTAGTAGTCATGGAGTCAGATGAAAGTCTGATTGCATAGAACAGAGTACACAGTAAAGTTGTGCTGGTGAAGTCCTATGTTCCCATTCCTATTGCACGGAATGAGTAATAATGATAATATAACAACAGCCTAGTACATGAAATATTTGATCCAGTTAGTTATCTAAATAATAAACTAACTATCCAAGGCATAGATTAGAAAATAATAAAAAGAAACTTACCATAATTGGGAAGAGTATAGCCAGTACATCAATAGATTTTATAACCCATAACATGACTAAACACGTAACTTGTATAGCAGTAAATAAATGAACTCGACGAAGAGAAACATGTCTGTAATAAGACAAAAACAGTAATGAAAATGAGAAAAAACAGGAAACAGTATTTAGTAAATAAATTAAAAAAATTGTTAGGTGGTTGCAGGAAACGTTGGATGTCGGTTTCGCACTTGATGACACTCATCGGAAGGGCATACGCATTTGAAATCTTCAAGGAACTCATGCCTCTTCTGATGTCGTAAACCAAGTTATACCACTGAGCTAATGCGTTTCACGAATGACTCCTCTGTATGACTAGTAGATAATTTCACTAGGCAGTAAGTAGTCTCAAGTGACTGGAGCTTGGTTTTTGGTGAGGACTGAATTCTATCATTTAAGCTGACAGCTTGGCCACAAAGCTAGATAATTCGGCATCGTGGTACACTCTACATTGTTGTTGGATAAGTTTGTTTGATATAATACATATTTTGTGATACAACATTGACAACTGGATGATTTTACGACCACAATTTATTGTTGCTCATAATCATATCAATGTATTCATCACACGATTTTCTGAATTTTCACTCCCCCATATTGTTCATTATGGTTTTGAATATATTCAGTATAGGCGTTGCATCACTTCGATTGCACTTGTTTGGTGTTGGTTCGGTGGACAAAGGACCAGGTGATCGACTTATTTTGTTTACCTAACTATATTACTTGTTTAACACTTTTATCCGTATCCCACGCTATTGTTGTGATTACATGCAAGTGAATGCATTGTGCACTGTTTGAGGTTTTTTCTAGATTATTTAACGCAGCAGAGACAATTATTCTAGCTCTAGCTAAATTCCCACATACCGATAATGTCAAAGACCCCGATCAGCTCGTTTGACCTATGTAATTAACCTTCTGGCGTTAATCCGATTAATATACTATAATATATTCGCGTCCTCACGTTTTACAGGGTGCTAGACGCTGTGTCTATGGCCAATTAAAAACAATGTTGTATAAAAAAGCACAAGTGAAGACTTGAAAGAAAAAAGTGAATTGTAGGAGAAATCAAACTTTGAAGTACTTGAAAAAAACGCGACAGTACGTGTAACCGCCTAAAGCGTGTATCAAACAATCGGAAACCAATATTCAATCATACACCGGCAAATGTTGTGTAAACTATACGTGAAAATCAGTATCTGTATAACTACAATGAGGGTACATGAATTATTTTTATAAGCATTCGCAGTTAGAGTTAATACAGGAGGGCCACCAATTGGCAGTCATTCCATAATATGTATTAAATTACATTATTTTTCTTGACTTCAGAAGACCTGGATTTGGTGCATGGGTGATTTATGTATTGTCACACAAACTCGAAAACTTGTAGGCGAAAACCAACAAAATGCCTGAAGAAGAGAGGCAGACTGCGAAGACAAGACTCCAGGTGATAAAGATAACCAACGAATGGCAACAACAATATGAACAACCAACACCAATCACCATCAATGGGAGAAACCTGAAAAAAGGCAACTCCCTTCACTTATCGCCAAGAAGCATCGTTTCAACTACACGCAGTCAGCACGGATGAAGATGTAAAACCTATGCAGAGTAGGAAAGGCAAGATACACCTTCATCAATCTCCAATCGGTTTGGAAATCTTCTGCACTTCACCTCAGTATAAATAACAAGATTTGGATTTTCAACACCAATGTCAAGTCAGTCAGTTCTTCCATATGGGTCAGGTTACAGACTTTTATCATCAGCTGGATCTATATTGAAGATCAAATGTCAGAAAGAATCAGTAACAAGAAACTCTGTAAACAAATTAACCAAGGAACTATCCTTCATCAAAAAATGTAGAGGAACTTGGAGATGGACAGGGAAGACACCACTGAGGAGACCGTGGAATGACATCGCACACACTGCAGGCCATTGCTCGAGTCGAGTCCGAATGAGAAACGACGAGTTTGGAGTGTGTCTGATGGTGACATGGAAGAGATGGGAGATTGTGGGCAACTGTGGTCCCGGCTGAAGAGGATGGCAGGAAATGGAACAAAGTGGAGATGTTTTATTTAGGTCCTATGTTCCATTCGGAACCCAAGGAGGCAATAATAATAACACTAATGTTGGATGGTTAGAGGAAATCACCATGAATCCCACGATATAGGTTCTGTGCTTAATCGCACTTGTCAGCAAATCTCCAACACAAGTGACTGGTGGAATTTAGTCACTATCACTAAGGTCGAGAGAAGGATATAGCACTGATTACTCTCTAGTGACTAATCTGTATGTGTGTGTATATTATGAAGCACTAGAACAGTTTATAGAAAAGTAGGTACCAGAAAAACGGAGTTCTCTATATGCACAGAGAGTAATGAACACACTGATATGTCATATTATTCTCAGAAATCAATCTGAAGGACAGGTATTATATATTGATCCTACTTGCCTACGGCTCTAAATCTACATTCTAACTCAGAAGCTTTCATTGTCCTCCATCTAGACAACATCTTCAGTACTCAGTCCAATGTTGGCAGAGTATTTTGGATTTCTCACTGATTAAATATGTAGACCTGTATTTCTTGATGACTTGGATTTCGATTGGTTCGTGGTGAGAGCTGTGTGCAAACCAGAATTGTAGACATTTTACGTCTATGTTTACGTCCCGAATCGGGTCGTAAGAAAAAAAATAACAAAGCTGAACTTTGAGGAACCCATCAACCAATCACAGAGGACTTAACGTGTGCGTTCCGTCAAACCTTCTACATCAAGAAGTTAAGACATTCTGGTGTAACCCAACCCTTACTACTACAATTTGTTAACTCCCGTATTCTGCCTATTATTCTCTATTGTTCCCCGTTAGTCTTTCCTGGGCTATTGAAGAAAGACTATACCTTATTACCTAGGATGTTAAAGGTTGTCAGCAGGGTAAGCAACATGCCACTTAACCAGCTTGCTAATATTCTGGTTGACAGGCACTTAAACTCATGTGAAAAATGGGCGAAATCCATTTTATCTGACTTACAACACCCTCTACATTCACAACTCTCCCCTTGTATCTCATCAGGGAAATCCAGAAGCCTATATAGGAAACTATATGCTCGCACTAGTAAGTACAAAAACTCAACCATACCCTACTTAGCTCGTGTTCTGTGCGATAAAGAAAGCATTAGGCGTGATAGCTATAACTTATTAAATAGTCAATAGAACAAATGGATTTCGTCTTTCCAACTCACATCATTTACAGGTACAACGTTTTTCTCTCTGCTTTTTTTTCTTTTTTTCTCATTCTGTATTTATTTTTGTTATGTGCTACTTTGTTTCTCTCTTCCTTACAAACTCTACTTAAAACATTCTTGTTTGTTCTTTCACACTCTGTATACCTCGACCATTTTGCTATCGCTTACGCCAGTAAATATGCTAGTAGTATCTACTTTTCTAACACCTTCAAACACGGTTTAAATTTTGGCTTTGCTATCGACATGCTAATATGTTGTTGTCAAAACTGACTGAGATAACTTTAATCTATGTAGAACTTTATTTATTGTTAATGTACTAACTGGATGTAATATTGTAGCAAAAATGCTGAGAATTCCATTCTGTATCACAAGTACTGATTTGGAATAAAGCTATTATCTTATCTTAAATACGATTCACAGAAACGGTCACAAGCAGTAGAGTAGACCTTCAGCAAGAAGACAACCAATCCGAAGGCGTTGCTTCTCTGCTAGCAATAACGCTAATAATAATGTACATAAAAATCTATAAGTATCTGTTGATTTTCTCAATAAACGATCTATTGTCTTGTCCTTGTCTTCTGTCATCCCACTACTATTATTGTCGTTATGAGCAATACTAACCTAATGTAACTAACGAAAAGTGATCTAATCGTTTAACATATCGTCAATCACAACCACCATGATCAGCACATAAGACACGCAAAAACAAACGAGGGAGAGAGAGGGAAGATGGACGGTTCACAAAAGAACTTTTACTGTCCTTTAAAAAACAATCAAAATAGTTGAAAAGAAGAATGCTGAATATATATATTCCGAGTAACCTTAAAATATTCAGCAATCGATGAGAGTACATGCAGCCAATAAAAGAATGACTAGGAAGTAATAGTCTTCAAGGTGTATCTTTTCAAAATAAAAATAAAAACGTGCAACGACATATAGGATATACTCCAGTTTGAACTGTAAGCGTCAAGATACGAGTAAAATCGAAACATTCCTGATGCTGTAATAGACTATATGTTTATATACTAGCAGAAAATTATGAAGCCTACTATCTAAATATGGCTAATAAGCAACATTAACTGCTATATAGACTAGCGGGAAGATTTCTGAAACCGTCCAAAAATACCTTGAATTATTATCTAAGAAATATACGTTACTTATTTCATTAAGTAAATAAAACAACAAACTATCGCGCTACAACTAGGGTTGTTGTTTGGATAATCCATAAACCCATTCAAAAATGAAAACACTACCTACGGCGGGAAAATGAACAGTAATCAAAATGACACTTCAGCAGTGAAATTCGAAATAAGACATGAGAGGGAGAGAATAATAATAATAAAGACAAAATTAGTGAATATCTTTTTGATATGGATCTGTCACCAATTTTGATATGATACACTCGTAGTTCCAATAATGGATTTTCTACCTAGTCGATTCGGTAGCCTATTGTTCTAAACACTATTAGCAACAACAACGACAACATCAACACCATACGAGGCAGCAAGACAAGAAGAGAAGACTGACTGTTGACATGGAGAGCTGTCTCGTATCAACAGTGAAAATAATTGACAGTACTTACGTATATATATACTTTAAAATGACTATGAGAGACACTAATGATATTGATTAATTAAAACAGTCAACAGCCAATGGGATTTCAGAGGTCATAAGTGGGGTGAGAGGAATACAAACAGATGTGTAAAAGGAACATGTGGAAAATTAGGTCCATAGATCACTCTTACACGCGTCGGTGGTTCAGAGGTAGAATGCTCGCCAACCACGCATGTAGCCCAGGGCTCGATCCCCATCCGGCACACTTCTAAGCCTCGCTAAA